AATAATAATATAATTTTTAATAATAAAAAGATATTATATAAATAATAATAATATAATTTTTAATAATAAAAAGATATTATATAAATAATAATAATTTTTATATAAAAAAGGAAAAATATTCCGCAATGAAATAAACGTTTCATAATAAAAAGATGTTTCGTAATAAAAAATAAAAATATATATTCCTCTTCAATGATGGATACAATGTGATATATTTCCGATGATTTTTTCAATTGCTTGTTTTGCAAATTATCTCGTAATTTGGCAAGTTGTTGTATTTGGCATAGTCTACTTGCTATATTCTCTGAACTAATTCAGCGAATAATAAATCATGCGTAGATGAAACTTTTAATTTTGAAGTTACGAACGAAATTGAGTAATATTGAACGTACGTACAGAAATATCTAGCTTGCAATGTAAAATTAAAATGGAATTAATTTAAATATTTGAGTTAAACGTTGTTGTAATATCAAATAATAAATAATTTATTATATGGTTGATATTGTAAGATTTAAATAAAATTATGGAGCTTTGTTTGTAGTATTTTTTTTTTGTTAGAAATAAATTATAATATAAGATAAGGTTTATGGTGATTATATTTGAATGTGAAGATTTATCTAAAATTATACTCTCTTAAACGGTGACGAAAATCACTAGGCGACATAGAGAGTAAGAATTTTATGTGTGAATATACATAGGAATCTGTGAATAGAAAAGAGGGTTCATAACTTCTAGAATTTATAAGGTAGATACTACTCATCGAAACATGGAAAAAAAGTCCTAACAGGATCGAAAAATTAATAGTTTCAAAAGTTAATAAAATTTACTTTTGTTTTCTGAAATGTCGTTATTATTATTATTATTATTTTTTGTTAACCTACGTGAAACAAATATATTTCAATTTTCAGCTTTTCAATTTTCCGTTGTTCTACATAAATATATAAATATTATATATGAAAAATATTATATTTAATATTTAATTTAATACGAATAAATATTGCAGCTTCTCCAATATTCGATTTTCTCTTTTTTGTACCGACCTTCAAACTCTATTTACGCATGGTTTTCATTCGCGTAAAACGAATCCACGTGGAACGAGTATGCTCCGCGTACACAGAAAAGAATGGATGTACATAAATTGAGAACGCACGCACGTACATTGCGTCTCTTCTTGCAAGTTGAATATTTAACGCCTGCCGCGTTAATCCGAATCTCTTCATTTCGACATTTGCCAATCTTACTCAGACACACTGTAACATATCGTTTGTGAGAGTAACGTGTCAGAATTTACATCAAAATTTAAAAGAAAAAAAAAAAAAAATGCCTCCGCAACAAAAATGCTTTCGCGAATAATCTAATCGTCCGAGAACACTCTAGATTTCATCGTCACATATACAGGGTGTTTCGTAACTTCGGGAGCTGATTGTACGCCTAAAAATAATGAAAAAAAAAGTCATATAAATATATGTCCCATCTGTCTTCGTTTATGAGATGTAATGAATTCTCTGTTTTAATTAATCTTTTACAAAAGATGCTCGAAATGACCACTCTTGCATTTGAAGACAAGCCTGCACGCGTCTTGTCATTCATCTGGTGGACTCTCTCTATCATTCCTGCTGTTTCTCGAATTTATTTCGTAATATTTCATTTAGCATTTTCAATCAACGTTGCGTATACAATAGATTTTCAATGTCCCCACAAATGAAAATCTAATGGATTCAAATCCGGAGAACGAGCAGGCCATGCAATAGAACCTCCACGACCAATCCATTTATTTGCAAAGTGTCGATTTAAAAATTGCCTGGCCACTCGGCTAAAATGCGGCGGAGCTCCATCATGCATAAACCGCGAATAATCTAATATCGACTGGAACTTCCTCTAATATTTCGTGTGAACGCGTGCTCAAAAAAATCAACGTACTTTGTGCCTGTTAGTTTCCCATCAAGAACAAAAGGTCTAATTAAAAATTTATCAATTATTCCTGCCGATACGTTTCAACTAAACTGGTGTTGATGTCTTGAATGCACAATAACACGTGGGTTTTCTTCATCCCAGTTATGATTATTATGAAAATTGAATGTACCATCCCTGGTAAAACTAGCTTACTAGAGTTTGCTCGTTTGTAAAATTCACTATATCTGATAAACGACGACAAATAGGACATATATTTATATGACTTTTTTCCATTATTTTTAGGCGTACAATCAGCTGCCAAAGTAGGTCCCACAAGTTACGAAACACTCTGTATATATGTGATATATATATATAATCTCTCTCTAGATCCCCTAGATCCCTCGTGCCGCCGGGTACGACCCAATCACGAGGATAGCCGGAGTCGAACGGACTTCCAGTGGAATTAGATTCAAACTAGATGGATTCTCATCAAAGTGGCTCTTACAGGGTTGCTGCATTACACCGGTAAATCCTATTAAACTGCGACGGCTAACGAATGGGTAACCCGACACGGGCTCTAAATTAAGTAACAGGCGAAAAAAGGGGTGGAGGGGTGGTAAAGGAGTGGGAGTTGGTGGGCGGAAGAGGAAGATCGTTAAAAGTTTTTAACCTCTTGCGCTTGAATGACGTGCCACGCACGTCGAGAATCATTTATCCCAAAATTGCAATATTTTCTCAGTGTTCAAGTATATTTATGTAAAACAAAACAGGCAAAACAAATAATATAAATTTATTGCTTCTCAATAATTTCTATCTATGNATGATAACGTACCGACGAGTAGAAAAAGCAAGCGACGAATTATTGTATGCAGTTTTGGTCACTCGTTATGGTCCGCAATCGGTTAGTGGTTAACCTCTTGCGCTGGAATGACGTGCCACGCACGTCGAGAATCATTTATCCTAAAATTGCAATATTTTCTCAGTGTTTAAGTATATTTAAGTAAAAGAAAATAGGCAAAACAAGTAATAAATTTATTACATCTCAATAATTTCTATCTATGGTGATAACGTACCGACGAGTACAAAAAGCAAGCAACGAATTATTGTATACGGTTTTGGTCACTCGTTATGGTCCGCAATCGGTTAGTGGTTAACCTCTTGCGCTTGAATGACGTGCCACGCACGTCGAGAATCGTTTTTTCATAAAATTGCAAGTGCGTGTTTTTTTTTTTTAACTTTGTTGGGGAATTTTTTGCAAAGAAACTGTTATACCTTTTGCAGTCGGATTGACACGGTTTATTTGTACGTCATTTCAACGACGTTTCGAAACTTTTTGGGACCAAAAAAAAAAAAAAAAGAAAAGTTAAAATTAGCGGCACTGAATATTCTCAAATATGGCCGCTCGTTATGGTCCGCAGTCAGTTGCCAGCGCTAGGGGTTAAAACGCTTTCTCTCGACGATTCCGGTACCGGATTACGAAGCGGTGAGCAAACGACAATCGAAACGCCGCGAACGAAACAACGATGGTCGGGTAATTTTCCCCGATTCACCTGTGTTCGCCTTGCTGATTAAAAAATTCTTCCCACTTTGATACGCGACGACACGTTTACAGATGTTTGCGTTCCGTGCTTGAACCGACAGAAAAAAACGCGTCTAATTGCAAGCCTCCGGGCTGGTTTTTAACGCGATTTTTGCATCTGATCGTAAAGTTGGAGGCTAATAGCGTTGATATGATGACAAGAATATAAAATTGTAGAACAATAACAGAGGATAATGTGATTGTAACGTTTGAGAATTTTATCGTCAGTGTTTAACGCGAAGGATATAGCATGCCAGGAACTTTATACTCTGTGTAATGCTACGCGTGAAATGGCGTGAAGCTTAATTATTAAAAAAAAAAAAAAAGGAAAAGAGAAAAATGCCTTTTCAACCTCGTAATGTTATTTTCGATAAATATATCCTGTGATGTGCAAACTTTATTACAAAAAAAAAAAAAATAAAAAATAAAAAATTATCCTCGTAACGTTACTCTCGATAAAATAATCCGAGGCGACAACTTTCGATTCTCGAAGGTGGAAATTTCATTTCGCAGCGTCGAGTGGACAGTTCGATCACTCGGTCTAGACGTAACGTAATATCCCTTTTCACGTAAGACGTAAGTGATCTGTGACACACACACACGCGCACAAA